GGTTCCCGTCAATGTGAATCTCAATGTTCGGGTAGTTTCACCACAATTCAGCTCTGGTAGGCCTGCACCAAAATTAATTAAAGGATTCACAGAATTCTAAGGATTAATGGTTTCTCATCAACGGTCGAGGAATGACGAAAAAGTATTTCAGCGGTATCGAACGGGTTTATTACTTCCGCAGACCCCAGGAACCTAACACATTAAAAAAGAAAGGGATTCTTATTAGGTACAGCTATTGCAGGTTTTGAATACATATAATATTTAGCTAGATTAGCTCGCTACAACAGAAGAGGGATACTGTTTCTTCGTGGCGCATGGGCGCAGATCTGTGATCGCGTATCTCTAATCGTATTCCGCCCAAGCCAGCTAAGCCTTCCATCTCTAGCAAATTGGTAGCTAACACCAGACACCGTCCAGAAAGGTAAAAACATTGGCGTGGGCAGCTTCCGCAAACCACTGTTCAAGCTACAGTTGCATAATTGTGCTGCTGCGATTTTGAATGAAAGTGAGGGAATCGAGATCATTGCGACAAAAAGGAACGCTTCTTGTTGGGCGCTCAGACACTTAGTAGCCTACGACTTGAAGGAGGATTCCAAGATAAGGTCGGAGGTCTCGGTAAAAGGATAAATATACCTAGCCAAAAGTGAAGCAGACCCCTGAGGGTGCAAGATGATGCGCGTCTTGCAGCGGAGAGTATGCTCCTAGGCCTAGCAGGGCCGTGCCTACGCCGCCCACGCCCCTACACGCTCGCCCATAGGGAATCCTCGTCGTCTGACTCTAGCCGTTGTGGAGAGAGCGTTAGCGTCGAAGAGGGCAGTAGCGATGAAATCCGCATCAATGCGGAAATCATCGGGTATAAAAGGAGAATTTCTCGGTTCTGGGCCGTTTCTCATAGTCTAACCACCTCTAACTTTATTTCTGATGGGCTGCCTTTTCATCGTGAACCTCGCCTTAGTGAAAATTGAAAAAGGGCCAGCCTTGGAACTGTGGTCAATCTCGGCCACAACAAGTCAAACGAGGGGGTCGTATTTGTTGATTCGAACGGGGGACCGTATTTGAGATATTGGAGGGTGGCGTAAGAGTAGGAGGCGTCATGGAGAAATGTGCCGACTGGTGTATAAGTTTTATTTCATAAGGTTACGACACTATCGACCACTGGAGGAGAAAGTTCATAGAAATTGTTCTCATCACAATTGACCCCTGTTTCGCACCTTCAAAATTCGCTTCTTTCGATGTAAAGGGAAGAGATGGGTGCATATTAGCGGCAATCTTTGCGTTATGGTGCTGTCAGTATGCTCGCTATGCTCCATTTAATAAAACTAAGCACTTCAAGAGCGCTCCAGCATTCAATAATGAGATTCTTTCGTCGTCGCTAAGCAAAAAAAGGCCCGGCTCGCCTGCCACTATTCATATAATCCGCTCATAGAGCCGATGCCATCAACTTGACGATCGCGAAACGCTTCAATTTCTCAAAGGTGGTTCTACCTCTTCCTCTTCCGTCAGACTATACACAAAGACTACTGTAGGAGCTATTTTTAAAACTGGAAACCTTTCGGGACAAATGTGAAAATTAACTTCGAGTTCGACTCGAGTTATTCTGCCAAGGATAGTCGTCCCGTCCGTATAATGTATGCTTGCCGGCCTGATCGTTACGGACCCCTATTTTCCTCCCATAGGTCGTTACTATGTACATATAGCTATGCTCATTGCAGTGCCGTTTTAGTCTCCCATACCAATAGCGAAACATCGCTCTTTCACTTGAGCCGTAACAATAAGCCTATCGACAATAACGCTTCTTCCAGGACTACTAGGAGAAGGCAGGAGCTTCGGGGAAAATGAAAATGCACCTCAGAGTCCCCTTTCCCTGACCAGAAGCTTAGCCTCGTTTTAACAAAAAAAGAAATGTTTTAAGCGGTTCTGAATCACTTCACTCTCACCACAGTGGTCCCGTATATTGAGATAGCGCCTGCCTATCCCCTATATATGGCACGACAGGGCTTTTCTACGCATACTAGCCCTCCAAGAGAACATTTCCATCGTATTAGCTCCGAAAGCCCTCTAGATTGACTTGTTTTGTTTGTTAACTACTAACTTAGACCGCATTTCGCGCTGTGAAAGTCACAAAGAAAGAACTTCTGGGTGGTCTTTCGAGAGAAAACAGACCAACGTCTATAGAGCGAATCGTACAAACTAGCTATGACCGTTTCATACTACGAAAAGAGCTACTGATCACATTGGAGCCGATAATACCAGTAATCCTGCCATAGTAATCCTACTACTACAAGATTTATTCCCATTTTAGCATTTCATAAGGGACCATGTAAACAACTCAAGAGATTTCGTCGCTTTAAATCATTGGGGACAGCGGGATACTCGTGACGTACAACGCTGTCATACGGAAAAGTTTGGTATCGTGGAAACACCTGAATGAAATTTTTACGTCATGACCAAACCCTCTGCTTTCGGAACCAGACTGTTTCTCGGTGCAGACCCACACAAACACAACTGACGCGCTAGCTTCCATAAAAATGTAAATGTTTCAGCAATAGTGTGATTACCCGGCCGCTTTCTAGTCCCATTAGTTCCCACTAATTACAACTTTCATTATATCAAACTATCGCGCTTTCACTAGAACCACTAGTTACCAAGTTACTTGAGCCATCGTCACAATTGGGTGTGTGGTTGCATCGACGAGCATCTGATGCCAGCAGCATACTTTTTGACCCATAGAAACAACCTGGTCTTTATTACACCAGCATCCTTGTGATATCATTGACGTGTGAACAGCGGCTAAAAACAGTAGTTTGCAATCAAAGAGCAAGTTTAAATAGCGCTACAGTGGAGGAGGGAAAGGAATCAAAGAGGTTTCAGCCTCATGCTCGTGTTTACGACTAGTGAACCCCAATGCCTCTAGCGTAATAGTAGAGCACAGAAGATTCTAGAACGGCGCTTGCCTCGGCCCTCGAGCTCCAAAAATGAAGGCGTAAGCGCCCTACGAGTAGGACCTAAGGCGAGTCTTCTACCAGAACCCTTCAACTCCCTTGGAGTGGAGCAAAAGCTTTGTAGAGAAACAGTGGCAATCCTTCCCACTCAATCTCTTGATTCCTTTATCAAAACTTAGCTTCTCAGCTACAGAAATTTCAAAAAAATCTTAGCCTCGACAATCGTTGCTACCGTATACATATCCTACGAAAGCGAAGAGTAGAATTCGGCCTCGAAAATGCATTCATTCACCATCGGTTAGACTGACCGAGTACAAAACTTGTGCTGTGACAAAAGATGTCCACTGAACCGGGTAACCTCGGCGATTTACTGTATAGGCTAAGCCGCATTCGAAACACAAGTACGATTCTGAATGGAAGTTGAAGTCGCGGCGCATCCCAAAATGGGACTGATTATGCCAAAAGGTGATATTTTCAACTGATAGGGAGTCTGAAACAAAAGCCCAGAGCAGACCCCGTACTCAATGAACTGACCCTCTCGTAAAGTTATACGGCCAACTGTGGCGCAGAAGAGCCCGAAGCAGAACGGCACCAAAGATTTGCGACTGGATTCGTGCGTGGTTGGGCAGGGCCGCGATAAGATCAGAAGAAGAAGTGATCAAAATTCTGAACCACTAACTCATGCACAAATCTAGGTCACTGAATCGTCACTGATAAGTAGCTATTTGAATGCCGCAGTGTTGCAACGGAAGCGCTCTAATGAGGACATTTTCCTCGGTCCTCATGGCCCCTTATTCGTAATCAATCCGTGAACGCGAGATGACTTGCTAATATAGCCGAATTCGTCGAAAACTTTGCCCAGTCAGCCGGCTGCCCAATTATCGAATTTCATGACTTTGAGCTTATGTTGATTCTATGGACCACCCCCGCAGCCCAGCTAAACGCCACACTCTTCAGGAATCAATGCTTGGCATTTCAACTTCAGATTGAAATTTGCAATGGTAACCATGAACGCGGAAAGGCGATCTGGTTCGGTGGAAAGTGGCGCTGCTCTCCAGCACGGTTCGGGGACCCAACCTGGCCCGTGCGTCATCCAGGCCAACCAAGCCCTCCATCCCTCCGAGGTGTTTATTTGCTACCAGACGTGGCTGTAAGGACAAAAACACTGGCTAGCGTTTTTGTCGTCACCCCTACCTCACTGAGGAGCCTCAAAGGGGTTGACGGCAGACAGTGGTTCGTCTGAGGTAGAGGCGAAACGAACCACTTCTTGTTTGATCCTATTTCCTTTTCACTACATCTTCTTCTTTTCTTAGTATGGACATTCGGCTGCCCTCGCAATTCATTGTATATGCAAATCGCATTCAAGGGCTACTCACGAAGGCTACCAAATGGAAACAAGCCGCGCTCCCAAAACGGCTTGAAACAACGCTATGCTTTTTCCTTTTTATCCTAACCATGAGCCCGAGAGGACTGCCTCTCTACTTCTCTGGCTTGGGGTTGATGAACCCCAGAGCGACAACAGCAGCAGAAGCAAAACAGCGGCACGGCGGCGGCCGTTCGTCGGATCGGTTGATCGGTTCAGTTGTAAAGGAGTCGCTGCTGGCTGACTGGCTGGCTGATGACTGGCCGAGGCCGCCGTGAGCAACTGCCACTGTGGCCAACGGACGGACGGACGCGTTTTCTCGTCGTCGTGCTGTAATGTGTGCTTCGATGCCGCGTCAACGGCTGCGATAGCCCAACCGTTGTGATGGGGCCTCCTGAACAGTTGGCACCAGGCCGCTTTCAAGCACAGATGTATCACAGTCAGCAGCAATACGATATCGCCTCGAAACGCGCCTCCGCTGCACTGCACACTGCATCTCTGCCGCCCAGTCCGTTCTTCTTCTGCTTCTTCTTCTTTAGCCGACCGACACAAGACACCTACAGGTTTACACTTGTAATCCAACTCCCTATGGACATTCAAAAACGCACACACACACACCTCGTTATACACCTGAACGCAGGCAGGACACCCACATGGGCACTCCAGACTCGAACGATTACCCTAGGCACTCCAAGTGAACTGACCAAAGTACTCTAAGTAAGTCTAGATGGTGCACACTAAACTGACTGCTGAGCTATTCGGGTTAAAATCGACATACGGAACATTGAGGGCTTCAAAAAGCTCATTAACCTTCTTAACAAATCTTAACCAAATTCCAAAAGCACATAAACTGAGGAACTAACACAGCAAGTTTGGAAGGCGCTATCGCAAGATGCGGGGCATCCCCCAGGATTGAGCCTGGGACGGAGGCAGGAACTCCGTAAATAAAATGAAAATTGGCTCAAGCAGTCTGAAGTCCCCCCTCCCACTTTTAAGACTTAATCCGGTTCTGACGAAAAAAAAACTGTTCCATGCTATTTCAAATGTATTGCTACCACAATGCCCCCATATCTTGCGATAGCGCGTTTGGAACTCAAGACCACTCAGTCTACCAGTAACTCCTCCACAGCACCACAACCCTGACCTCACGTCCGTTTCCTCATCGATGTCATCGCATTGCTCCAGAATTTCCATCACTTCATGCATAATGCTGGAAACCAGATGCTCCAGGTCATTCCGTACTTTCCCACCGGCTGCACCGTGACCTTCGACGGTTATCTTCGGGTTCTCGTGGCATACTTGACGTACCTAGAGGATCAGGAAGTAGTCGCCTCGTTGACTGACCACTTGAGGTAGGGGGACGCAACTGACCGCAGCTGGTGGGAAGCAGTCAAGAGCGGGTGCAAGTTTTCATGGCAACATAATGCAGTTATTAGCGCGTCCGCTGAGCTTCTAGTATAGGGCGACTAATCAGACGCGTGTTGAGATGGAGGGGAAGAGGACGAGCGCGAGTGTGACGGAGTAATGCGCCCAGACGGGATGCTGGCGACCGACGCTCAGCATCCCCATAATATTCAGTCACATCACTTACCAACACTCTCACATACACACACACCTGCCCTCAAACTAATATATAATCTATCGACATCGCTGCCTGCACACACACACTCACACTCATGGGTGGGTGTGAGGGCAGTCGAGAGCCGACACCCCGGACATAGCAACGCGGGATCAATTCTTTAATTTTGTACCTCGGAAGCGGCAGCAGCGGCCGCTGGCGACGACGAGAGGAGCACACAGGGGCAGCCCTGCGACGACGACGACGTCACCCTTGGCCGTCTCGTAGAGAAACCACACCAAGTCGGTCGCATCGATCTCACCGCAAAAGTAAACTACGATCCCACTTCATCATGCTGCTGAGGTGCTGCTTCAAGCCAGCTTCCCAGTACTCCTCTCATAGCGGTGCCGCCTACGCCGGACGCACCGGACGTATGCCGCCGCCGCTCGCCCACATTCAATCAAAACGAATAACTCGTAATTAAGCGCCGGAGGATAGAAAATTTCTATAAATTGGATATCGACACATATGTGGGCGGCTCGGCCGGCAATACACACACGATAGCCGCCCTTTGAATGTGGGGGAATGTGAAAATCATTTCTCAAACACATAATTCATCAAGGAACGAGTCGAACGCAAGAAAGCCTGCAGAACGTCCCACCAGCTGCCCTTTTGCTGAGTGAAATTTTCGAGGAAACCGAAAAATTCAACAAAAACCTGTAGGAAAGGCCTGGAATCCCGGCGAAAAGCGCACTTCACGAAATGGGGAGAAACGTAAAAGGGGGACAGATGAACGATGTGCACACCGTGTGAAAACGTCAAACCTGAGAAACAACGCTTCCTTGGATAGTCGTGACCGATTCGAGCTGCTGTTGTGATCCTTCGTTCTGGAAGGTGTAGAGGTGAGAGAATATCGCGTGAAACGAATCGAACGTGAACGACGACGACGACATCGATCGGTCATGCCTCCATTATCATTCGGATACAGTACCGGCGACAATGATATTCTGAAGCGCATACGGGACGGCCCGGCTCGTCCCAGCTAGCACGTGTGGTGTCCAGCAACACGAAAGGCATAGAAGCGATAGAGACGCACGTAAACACAAGAGCGACTATACCGATGGCGATCAGATCCCCCCGATGGTCGGCAGGCACTGCATCGCGAAATGAAAATGACGACACAACCTGATGATGTGCTAGGCGACAGGGAGCTCACACACACCCAAACTCAGAAAACGGTGACCCGATGTCGGCGCCCTCCAGCCTAAGCGAACCTCGGCCCAGCTTACAATGTCTAAGACTGTGGCAAAGCATTCACTTAACTGGTGGGACGCAGTGCCAAATTGGTAGAGAACGAGAAACACACGAGAAATTGCTTGTGCTCAAACCTCACAAATAGCGTTGAGAATACGCTCCAGATGTGGTGGAGATGGATGACCGTCGGCTAACTGTAGTAGACAGGCAGAGAGGCCACGTAGTAGAGCAGGGCTGGCCGCGTGCAGCAGTTCGAGCAGGCGACAGGACGAATGAACTACGGAAGCACGACGACTGTTCGATGGCTGAGAAGCAGTGACAAGTGAGAGGGGAAGGGCCGGCCCCGGGCAGGCAGCGATGGAAGCGGGTGGCGCGCCGCCCCTCGCCGGATCGATGCCTGCCAGAAGCTGCTGCCCTCGAGACCACCCTCACAACCGCCAGCAGCAGCAGCAGCAGCAGCAGCAGTAGCACTGCTGCGCTCAGCCTGGCCTACACAGCTGCTACCGGAGCCGTATGTGTGGCGATGGTTTGGGTGGTACTGTGTGTGTGGGCGATTTGGAATGTTACCTGGTTTCGTTGAAGCAGTTCTGTGAGCATTGAGCTTTGCTCCTGTAGCATTTGCTCGATGTGTTTCAGTCGATCACTGCTCGCGTACAGGCTGGCAGAACGAGAATCCGTCTGGTCTATATCGCTTTCAGTACGATTGGAGATGATCTGTGAAAAGCCGCCGATGAGAGTTGTGTGAGCCAAATCCACGCAACGAACACTCATTCCATGCGTATACGGCTGATCAAATCCATGGCAAATATCTTTCCTTTCACAACGGGGCCGACCAGAAAAAAAACGCCAACATCAAACAAATCACACCATCCAACGAAACCAATCATTAGCCACAAGTTGATTTCACCACAACACGCAAATCTGTCTGTTCCTCCAGGATTGCCCTCATAAAGCCTTTCAAGTCTGTGTTAGCCACACACTGCATCACACTCTAGGTCATTAGGACACGACCACAGCAGCGCTTCTGTCGGCGCCTGCCGTGCTCCTCTTGCAACGGAACACCGCTTTCCGGCGAATCATTGGGTGGAGCTATGTGGCGGCGGCCGTCGGCGGCCGTTGCGACGGCATCCAACAGGCGGTGGCCGTCCGACGCGCCCGCCCAGGCAATGGCCAACAGATGCTCATACATTTTAAATGACTACTAGCACTATTTAGGCATTCATAACATCACGCGAACGACATGCTTCTCTGATGGCGTTCCGCATGAACAACACCCATTAGGCTGTACGGGTCCAAAGAAAAAAGTCCACAATCTCGAAGTAGCACGCCGGAAAACGCCAAACACCAAACCAAAAACCAAAAAGTATAGCGGAGCTATCGCAATATACGGGGGCATCCTCTAGGGCTGAGCCTAGGAGGTTGCAGGATCCATTACCAGATGGAGTTTCGTCCATTGTGACCAAGCCTATTTCCCTTCCGGGTGGTCAGCCTATGAAACTAGACTTACCTATGAGATCGAAGATAATGCTTTGCCTATCGGCCAGCTCCAAAGAGACACTGTATGGTTCAGATCGAATCCAAGTGCTACTAACTAGAAAAAGAAAAGGTGATGCATCCCAAAAAGGATTAGGCGCTATCGCAATATAAGGGGGCATCCCCAGAACTAAGCCTAA